CCTTCTCACCTTAATTAGGAGTGGCAGTTCCACTACATTAGCCAAGCAACGAAGGAAACTCGTGACCAACATGTCACCTTTGTCCCACTGCTGGATGTTTTGCATTTCCCAGTCCTGTTCTGTCACTGAAGGGGAAGCTGAGAGACAGCATGGCAACCCGAGAGAGACCTAACCTGCCATAAAGCTGAGCAAGGCCAGGATTTGAAATCAGCACTATTTTTGACTGGTTTGCAAGTGCAAAGTGCTATTTGTGAACCGCTTGCCCAAATGAGACACCTGCCTACGTCTATGATGTTGAACTGGTTTGCATCAAGAGTTCCTTCTTTGTGAACAAGGAAAAGTCATATCTCAAAATGCTTTGGTGAACTGCAGCACTGAACTGAATTTTCCTTGAAGAGGTACATTCAGAAAAAAAAGAAAAAAGAAGGAAATAATTGCTTACTGTTTGAACCCCTTTGATTTCCACTAGGCATTCACTTCAGCATTCTAATGCAATCCTTTGGCCAGCACAGAGGCTGCTAGAGGCAATGAGATCTGTTATAGGCAACACAGTATAAGGAGGAAAGCAGGGTGTCACTGAGCAGAAGTACATGACAATTAAACGACACCTAAACAGAATCATTTAATAAGGTGCAGTGCTACTCCAGGGCCAACAGACCTCAGGGTTCTCAGTTCACACATGCAGGCCCCAGAAATGGCAGTTCCACTTGAGCAGCTCAACTAGAAGCCTGACTCCAAAGTTACTGCTCATCTTTCCCAGCAATTCTTTCATATTAGGTTCCATTTTGCCATCATTCATGGTTTAAAAAGCACATCTCATTTTCAAGTATGCCTTTAAAGCCTTTAGCCTCAGAAGGCAGCATGTCCAGCCCAGGTCCCACAGCCCACAGTCATTAGTGCTCACGTGCCATTCACTGAGCTCTCCCAGTTCAAGCTCACACCTGGATTTAGCCTGAAGTCATCATCGTAAATCCTGAAACTTCACATTTCTTGCCTGTTCCTTCAGATGTAAGTTCTGGGACTTGAAGAAGCAAAAAAATCTGCGTTCCTTACACTGTGATCTCCAAAAACTCAACCATGTTTAATGAAACACTGGGGTTTCAAATAAAAACTAAGTTTTTATTATATACTACAGACTTTTTGAAATACTTTAGATTTCTCCAGTGATATTACGAAAAAAAAAATAAAAATTCTTCTGGGTTGCTTGAAGATGTTTTAGCTGAGCAGGCAGAACTCCCAGCTAGTAGGTACATATCCCTGCCATTCCCATTTCCACTGGTATTACCAGCACCATGGATTCTGCTGTTCATGCAGCTCATAAGAACATTATTAAACCGCTTAACCCATACTGCAATTGGGAAAACTGAGACTCAGCAAATAAAGCTGCCTGCCTCCCATGTTGAATAGCCTTTAGAAGGACTTAAGCACACAGACATCAGGCATGCCAGGGACAAACAGATATTACAGCCAGCAGTTCTTCAGTTTGAAGAAAATCATCCAAATTGCTTGGAGAGAGATAAAAAACAGGGGAGGAGGAGGAGGGTGGGAACAACAGAAAAGAAAGGAGACAAGAACATTTTGCAGAACACTGTGCAGACTTAGCTGCTCAGTATTCTCAGCTGAGAAATTTATCTTAATGATGAAGACTTGGATTACTGTGTGCAGTTCTGGTGTCCTCAACATAAAAAGGTCACGGAGCTGTTGAAGCAAGTCCAGAGGAGAGCCACAAGGATGATCAGGGGACAGGAGCACCTCTTGTAGAAAGACAGGCTGAGAAAGTTGGGGCTGTTCAGCCTGGAGAAGAGAAGCAGCATGGAGACATCAGAGCAGCCTTCCAGTATCTGAAGGGGCCTACAGGATGCTAGAGAAGGAATCTTCATCAGGGCCTGTAGCAATAGTAAAAGGGGTGATGGGTTCAAACTGAAACAGGGGAAGTTCAGGTTAGATATAAGGAAGAAGTTCTTTACTGCGAGGGTGGTGAGGCACTGGAACAGGTTGCCCAAAGAAGTGGTGAATGCGCCATCCCTGTCAGTGTTCAAGGCCAGGTTGGACAGAGCCTTGGGTGATATGGTCTAGCGTGAGGAATCTCTGCCCATGGCAGGGGGATGGAACTGGATGATCTTAAGGTTCTTTCCAACCCAAACCATTCTATGATTCTATGGCTTCCCTGAATGAGAGGTATCAAAATATTTAGCTGACCTGGTTCAGCTGAAGGATGCAGTTGGGTCAGTTCAAAGTTATCGCCTCAGCAAAACTGCCATTAGTCAGGAGAAAAAAGGTCCTGTGCCTGCTGTGCTGCAGGGCCCAGGGCCAGGCTCACACCTCCTCTTTCCAACACCACCCTGCTAAATGTTCACTTGATCTGAAATAGGTTGTTCTTAATTGCACCAGACAACTAATGAAAAGGCAAATGATGTCATGAAATAGGCAACTAAGTTATAAACTGACAGGTAAGCTCAGCTACGACTTTATCCTAGATATATGCCTAGATATACACATTTCAAACAGAATGCTCTTATTTTGGCACTGCTGAGCTTTGGAATACTCAGTGGTGAGGCTGTACTTACAGAACCAGGACAACTGTCCAACTGTGCCTTTTTTCTCTCCAGAAGAGGTTCCCTACAGTACAGCATCACTGGCCATCCAGTTCAAAGAATCATACAATAATAGAATCAACCAGGTTGGAAAAGACCTTTAAGATCATCAAGTCCAACCATTACCCCAGCACTGCCAAGACCATCACTAAACGATGTCTCTGAGGGCCTCACCTACAAGTTTTGAGAACACTTCCAGGGACACTGATTCCTCCATTCCCTGGGCAGCCTGTTCCAATGCCTGACCACCCTCTCAGCGAAGAAATTGTTCCTAATATCCAGCTAAACCTACCCTGGTGTAGCTTGAAGTCATTTCCTTTTGTCCTATTGTTTGTTACTTGCAAGAAGAGACCAACCCCAGCTCACTACAACCTCCTTTCAGGTAGTTGTAGAGAGCAACAAGGTCACCCTGAGCCTTCTCTTCCCCAGACTAAGCCCCCCCAGGTCCCTCAGCCATTCCCCATCAGACCTGTGCTCCAGACCTTTCATCAGCCCCCTTGCCCTTCTCTGGACCTGCTCCAGCACCTCAACATCTTGTAGTGAAGGGCCCAAAACTGAGCACAGGATTAGAGGTGCAGCCTCACCATTGCCCAGTACAGGGAGACAATCACTGCCCTGGCCCTGTTGGCTACACTCTTTCTGATACAGACCAGGATGCTATTGGCCTTCTTGGCTGCCTGCTCATGTTCAGCTCTGTCAGTCAGCACCCCCAGGTCTTTTTCCACCAAACAGCTTTCCAGCCACAGAGTGGTATTCTAGTTCACAAACAGTAAACCTAAGAGAAAGAACTCATTAGGGAACTTAATACACTACAAAAAGGATATGAAGAAGCCTCCTGTATCACCCACAAGGCTATCTGAGGCCTAACTGAATGCTGTTAACCCAGCACATAACCTCGTAAATGAATTTAATATTAGTTTCATTTATCATCCTTATGTCTCCTTCTGGCAGATTGGTTTAAAACTTGATACCTCAGAGCTCACCTTCCAATTTCCAGTCCATTCCAGTCAGTTTTTATACATTCCTTTCCGTGTCCATTTTATCTCTCAGCTTCAACAGCTTGTCTGCCTGACATATTCCCAGACTGATACTACCAGACAAGTCCAACTTAACTTGTCTCTTAAGATGGGCATTCTTGCCCCTAACTCTGCTTTGCCCTTGTTACTTATCTGTCCCATTTTGCCATCGTCACTGTGTCTTGCATGACACTTCCCTGCTTTTTGAAAATAAACCCAAAAAACCCTAAGGGAACTTGGCACGAAGAAGTACAGCTGAATTCTAGGACTTTTCTGAACTACTTAAATGGTATTTATACTAAAACAAGCAACAGCTTTGGAGTTATTTGTACAAAAAATTCCGTGTGAAGAGAGCTGTGGACTGGCCCCACAAAAAATAAGTGTCAGCTGTAACTCTCAGCATCTTCTCTCCTATTTTTTCAGCCCATTCTGAGTAAATAGCAGCACCAATGGAAGCCATTTACAGAAAATACCAGAAGACAAATGTTTTGGAGAGTCAGGGTCCAAAAGCAAACCTTCCAAACCTTCTTTCCAACTCTGTTCAGATTATTCAAGTCTCCCACTCTTTTTGGGATTTGTCCTTTTGGATTAGCCACCTCTACTTGTTCTCACTACACTCACAGCACCCTTAGTCTTTCATCATGTCCCAGTTGCATGCAGTTCCTTCAGTTCCTTAGGCACAAGGGGTTAGTTTGGAGTTCTGATGTTTCTATCCCTTTAAGCCACTCCTGCTTGTAGCCAAGTAGGTAATTTGCTATTTCTACCTGCTATGTAAATTGATTAATTGCAGGCAAACATAAGGCCCATTCTCATGCTGAGGAGGAAGGAAATCTGTATCAACTACTCCTTTCAACACTTATATTTCATCAAGCTTCCACCACCAGCCTGTGCTCCAGGTCAAATCTGAGCTTTCTTCTGGCCACAAGGGCACAACTTTCCAGAAGTCTTTAAAACTCACTGTAAACCTCACCACAAGAAACACCAAAATTATTTACCTTATTTCAGCCTTAGACAACAAACACTCCCTCAGGCTCAGGACTATACAGATGGTTACTGAAGTGAACAGATCATCTTTCAAGGGCCAGTTGCAGTGACACCATCACTTTGTCACTCCGGCTTCCCACTTCCAGCAGAGTTGGAAATTCTTCATAAAGAAACATTCTGCAGATGGCAACATTTGCACATGATGTATATCACCTTTAGGGAACCTGAGAGGTTATACAGTGTTAGGATGTCCCTGGCATTGTCATCCATCACACTATCAAAGTCAGAAAGTTAATAACTAACCCTCCCGGGTGGTGAGTCACTCAAGCTCCCTGCACTTTGCCTGAAGGTACAGACCACCCCCCCCACCCCCCCCCCCCACGGTGGAGGAGCCAAAGGCAGAGATTGATTTTCAAGGCCTAACTTTGTATGGGAAGTCACATATGGATTAATCTGTTAGTGGACATTTACCCTATGTCTGACTCGCCCAGAAGTAAAGCTTTACAATTCAAGACTGCCCCAAGCAGCAGCACAGTGGGTAGAGCACAGTGGGTACACTGAAGAACAGACACAGGTTACAAAGCTGGCCAAGCTCACTTTCCTCCCTTACTGCCACAAAGGTGCTGATCCTAAGGCAGCAGGATTTACCCACTCAGCCTTCCTTCAGGTAAACAACTTCTTTTGTGTTCTACTGCAGCTTCTTCCTCTTTCAGCTCCTTGTTCTCCCTTCCTTCCCTCCTCCCACTCAGCCCATGCAGTATAAAAAAAGGAATAATCATCTTTCCATCCCTCCTGCAAGCATGTGTTTATCTCTTTATTTTTAAATGTTACAGCTTCCCAACATCTGTCTCTGTGTGGTATAATCTTACTGATGAAATATTTCATGTTTTCCTTGAGCTCTCATCAATATGTCTCTGTGTTATCAGCTTAGCAGATGGAGACCCAGAAGGAATAACCTCAGCTTACCTGGGTGATTTCTTCTTAAGTACATACTTACTGTACTCCAGGAGAAGAATCATCATTATTTTAGCAATGCAACACAACATCTCTCTGCAACAAACTGAATTCTCTCCTCTTAAGTTACATATGCCTACTTCATTGTAATTTTCCCCTTGGATTCTCCAAGTTGTTCTCACCCACCACTAACATTTCTACCCACATTTCACACATACTGGAAAAACTCAGGCAGATATCAAGGCCACCGGAAAAGCCACTGGCATAGCCAGGAATTGAACCTCATTTTCCCCATATTAAACCACATCTGTACCACCCACCTGCTTCCTGCCTCATGTGTTAACTGCAAAAGCATGCAAAAAAAAACAGTCACTGTGGTCAGAGAAAGAGCTTTGGTTACGTGGAGCTCTACTGATGATGTGAGAAGCAAAAGAAAGCACAGATACTTCCTTCTCAGCTTTGTAAAGGATGCCTGCAGAGCTTGCCTTGTTAAACAGCTCATGGCTACCACCCCTGCATGCTTCTGAAACATCTCCCCTTACACATTCAGACAATGCAAGTCATGCAGTTGTTGCTACAAAGCAACTTGGTAAAAATAATAATAATTAGTAAAAAATTGCCCATGAAATCAACACTTTTCTCACTTCATATTTTGGAGGTTCCTCTCCATTTAAACATTCCAGTGATTATATGGAGCAAAGAGGATTCCTTAAGGTTTTCTCACCACTACAGAATGCTTGCCTTCCTTTTGTCACAGTAGGATTTTGTGTTTGCCCTCCAACAAAGACACTTAACCATGACCTTACGTAGCAACAGCTCCCATGGATGTGACTAATACAACAAGGCAGGTGTAGGTCTCCTTTCTTTACCACTTCCCCTCTCCTACAGCACAGAAACACTGCTCTTCCCATAGAAAAAACAAGCAAGTAATAAGAGGAACAATTCTGACCATCATTTACTGACCACTGACACAGGTAACAGCCCAAGGCAATGCTTACAGCCATAAGGTTTCTGTCAAAAAAAAGCCATTCCCTGTATTCAGCTGAACAGAGCTTTTGGCCAAGTAACCAAGAGCACATCAGCTGCTTCTAATCCTTTGTCTTGGAGTTGCATTCAGCATCAAAATAACATGTGCCTCTTATAAAGCCAGGTAAAGGAGGTACACATAGGAGCCACCTCCCACCTACCACGTGCTGGCCTACCTCTCTGCAACCTCCCCGCAACCTCCCCTGACATTTAAACCATGTCCTCTCTGCACCATGCCTGTATCAAGGTACCAACACAGAGTAAATGAGAATCCAGCCCAGGGTACTGCAGAGCTTAGCCTAACACATTAGAGGATGATTACAGAACTGAAGGTTATTTATTGTATGTTAGGGCATGGTGGGGGGGGGTGGGGAAAGGTTTTTTTATTCATTTGGTTTATAGTCCTATCTGAATAAAGGTAAACACATAGGGATTATAAATGAAATAAATCTGATGCAGAATAGAATGGGGGTCGTACACACACACACACACACACACACAAAATCTCAAGAGGGTCAGGAGATAATGAAGATTATGCCTCAATATTGGGATTATGATGTTAGTTCTTTATTTCAATAAAACTGGATAGAGATCTTTCATATCAGGGACAGAGCTTAGCTGTAAGGACAAAGTAATCTTCTGGGAATTATGTGTACAGGCTCAACAACATTTTTATTGGATGGCTGATGAACTGGAAAACTCCAGGATAGCCGGGTTTTAATTTGTAATCTTAATTTTCATATAAATCGGTACAGTTGAAGGAAGGGGGGCAGATGTAGAGGGACTCTGATGCTGTGCTAATATCACAGCATTAAGACAGCACATGCATTAAGGCTACAAGTGTAACTCATCTAGTATCTGATTCTGTCTTTTTGCCTATCCGTCTGTCTACTATCTATCGTTTCACCACTGAAGTATCTCAACAGTGACTCAAGAGCAGAAGACACAGTCAGGGTAACGTTGCATCCACCAAGAACTACCTCCATGTGCTCAGTTGCTCACCAGGAAGCAGCAATGTGAAAGAAGCAGCTTCAGACAATAAGTTTTGGGACCTCATGTTTTGCGATCAGCTCCATCCTAACCCTCTGCTCCAAAATAAATCACCAACAAGCCATGAGACTGTTCTGTTTGTGATTTTAACTGTCAGGTCACCTAAACATGTCTTCTGAGCCTTATGGGTACTGCAGCCCTGACCATCCAATGGGCTGAGTATCCACAGCTTCTGGTGCTAGCCTGTTCAGAAAGTCAGAGAATGGTTTGGGTTGGAAAGGACCTTAAGATCACCCAGTTCCAACTCCCTGCCATGGGCAGGGATGCCTCACACTAGACCATATCACCCAAGGCTCTGTCCAGCCTGACCCTGAACACTTACAGGGATGGAGCATTCACCACTTCTTTGAACAACCTGTGCCAGTGCCTCACCACCCTCACGATAAACTTCTTCCTTAGACCCAACCTGAACTTCCTCTCTCTAAGCTCGAACCCATCACCCCTTGTCCTATTGCTACTCTCTGATGAAGAGTCCCTCTCCAGCATCCTTGTAGGCCTCCTTCAGGGACTGGAAGGCTGCTCTGAGGTCTCCACACAACTTCTCCAGTCTGAACAACCCCAATTTTCTCACTGTCTTTGTACAGGAGGTGCTCCAGCCCCTGATCATCCTCATGGCCCCCTCTGGACTTGCTTCAACAAAAGTATCAAGTACGGTAGTGAAACTATTCCTGCCTGCACAACTGATGGTCTTAATGAAGCAGAACACATAAAAGATAGCCAGGGAAGCACCAGAGAGGACGGGTCTTGTTTAAGGTCATGCAACAGGGTACTTGATAGTTAACACTGCTTGGGCTGGTGTACTAAACGCTCACATCAAATTCCTGTCCTCCAAGACACAGGCTTCACATCCACTACCTTCAGAAAGTAACGAACAGTCCCAAGCTGCACAACCATCAGGAATGAGTTATGGCCCCGGAGGTGAATTATTTCCTCAGCAATACTCTGTGGAACAAGCAACGGATTGAAGTAACCATGCTATTGCTTCGATCACCCCTATCCCTCTACCTTCCTGATAAGTAACAAAATCCACAGCACTGATAGAACAGCTGCTTTTATAAGGGCAGCAATAACGAAAGAAGCTCCCATAATTTCCTAGCATTTGAGCATCAAAACAAGATTTCCAGGGAGAAAATTGAAATGCCAAAAAGATTTATATTTACTTATGCAGATATCCTGCAATCCTAGCCTTTAAAACATGGCCTATTATATTGGTGCTGAGGGAGAGAAGAAAAAAGAACCAAACTTATCATTCCATTTCCCAAATATACAGCCACTGTAAAATGCAGAGAATGGGCAAAGCTATTTTTTAAAAGCTACCTGATACCAAAATAGGGAGAGTGAATGACAGAAGAGAATCTGATCTACTCGGGCATAATCTTCAAGTGTAAATTTCTTCATTTTATTACTGTCAGGAAGGCCTTAAATCAATTCCCACTTCTGCTTTTGTTTCCGAGGTGACACTGTGACGTGCTGACAGAAATCCTGTGTAAGCAAGCTGCATACAGGACTCCATTCCCTTTCCCTATGCCTGCTCTTCCCATCACATAAATCTGTCCACAAGTTCTTTGCTTACCTTAATCATCCACTCTAGGAAAGCCAACAAGTCACTACAAGGAGCATGCATAACCATCAGCAGCACAATAATCATCTATGAGCCTGATTAGAGAGTGGAAAATCATGCCAGATAATGGGATTTCATCAAAATAGAAGATGAAGACGTATGTGATGACATCTTATTCTGGACTTCCAAAAGGCCTCCAAGGACCTCATAAGGCCTTCCAGTAGAATTAAGAAGTTGTGCACAGACAGGCATTTTGGCTGAAAGTTAGTCAGAAGGATGAATGGGGGGACAGAAAGATATTAGGATCAAATGGTCAATTAATAAAATGGCTCAAGATTAACAAGGAGGTGCCCCAAGACGCTAAGACCGAAGTTATTTACAGTCGTTAGTCATGATTTAGGAAAGAGGCTGAGAAATGAGGTGATGACCTATGCAGATAATACGAAATCATTTGGATTAGTCAGATCTAGAGAAGCCTGCAGGGACCACAGAGATGAAAGACAGAACCATAACAGCAGTGAAGAAGAAAGGTAATGAGCATTGGAACAAATAACAGGAACACTAAGGTGCCAAATTCTAAGCAAAGACTGTCACAAATCTGAAAAGGCAGCCAGGTTTTTTGGACAGCTGGACAAGAAACGTCAATCCTGTATCCAGGTTGGATAAAGGAAAACAGAAAACTGTGCTGTAAGAATCTAGGTATGGAAGTAGCTCCAGAATGAGCACTGCAAATGGTCACAGGTTCCCTGTAAAGGGCCTGGATTTGTTTTTTTTCCAGTCATTACACACAATGATTTCAGAAAAGGACAGACAAAAACAAACCCAGGGAAATCTGAACAAACCAACTATATAACTACATAATCTGAAGAGAAGATTACACTCAGTGAGACTGAATGACAGCCACACTAAAATTCAAGATGAACATCCCTTTCCCTTTTTTTTTCCCCTGTTTATCCCTGTACTCAACTTATTTATTTATTTTTTTTCAAGTAAAACCAGGAAAATTACACATTTGTTTCTATCAGATAGTTGTCATAAGCAAAACTTCCTATTTAAGTTTAAACCCAACCATATATATCACCATGTGTCAAACATGCTCTCACTTGCTTTTACTACTCAGCGTCTGTCATTTTGCAACTGGCAATTCTGGAATTGCTTTTTACCTTTTTAAGTTTCCCCCAAACAGTGGGTCTGTTCATCAGCAGCAAGAAGATACAGGGTAACCATATAATTCAGTGTAATGTTCTGATGTTCCTGCTGCATTACTTTATGATGGCATGAGTATGTAAAATACAGGTGACTTTTACAAGACGTGAATTTTATCACCATGCTATATCCAGGTGTCCACAGATCACTAGTGACATTGAATTAACAAGTTAAAAAAGTACGTCTTAACTAAAAAGCAGGCAGTGGAATTCAGGTGGAGAAATCAAATTCCTTCCAAAATGTCTACTAGTCTCTATAAGCTGGAGCATACAAGTGAAAACTACTTAACAGTGGGAAAATATCCATTTTTATGCAGTATTTTACAGCCTCCTGGTACTCCTGTTGTTTACAATAGTTTTTTTAACTTCCCACCAAGTTAAGAAACGATACAACAGAAAAATACATCCTGGCTACTCCATCTGCACTTCTTCTGAGCCCATGACACCATTTTTCAGCTGTGACCAGGAGCTGATACTCATCTGCAGTGACATCCTAAAGTCCAAGAGACCCAGCACATGCTTCAGCAAGGCAACCACGCAAACGCTGGAACAGCACCTGGGAGTATGTCCTGGGGACAGGCAGTAGGTACACGGAGATCTCCAGGTCACTTGAGCCCCCTTGCAACCAAGCTGGAAGTTTGTCCTGACTTCACAAAACTCTCCAGAAAGAACAGAAGTTCAGGGAGAAACAACAGACCTTCTGATTGCTCTTGCCTGCAGATAAACAGAGCTGAACACATCCCGTGCTACCTCAGTGTGTGTCACAGAGCAGCTTGTAATGACATGTGCACATACACCTCTACATAAAGGATGGGGTTTCTGACAATTTCTAACTGGAAGGAGATACATAAGAGCTTAATTGCACTTCTTTAAAACACTCTCCGTGCAGCATGAGCCAGCTTCTGGAGGCTCTGTTCTAAAATGAGTATAACACCTTTCTTATATTTCTCTCCACTCATACTTACGTTTACACTGCCTTTTCTGTTTGCGGAGAGTCCTGCTCCCTGTGCAGAGCTTCCCCACACTTGGTTACATCTAGGCAGTGCTTCTATCAGATCCACAAGGACAGGTTGCCCAAAGAAGTAGTGAATGTTCCATCCCTGTCAGTGTTCCAAGACCAGGATGAACAGAGCCTTGGGCAACATGGTCTAGTGTGAGGCATCCCTGCACCTGGCAGGAGGCTGGCAGTCTGTGATTCTGTGATATCATGACTAAGACAGTATTAACAACTATTTCTCTTACAACCCGTACCACAGTATATCAGGAGTTGGTACCCAGGTTTCCAGCACAGCATAGATTTGCTTTTGTCTTTCTCTTCCCCTAATCAGTAGAGCCTTCTGCCATGCAGGCTTAGTACACCACATAGTCTCAATTACAAAAGCAGTTAGAATTATGGTGCGTTGCCTCTTCCTGGTCTTATTTCCTGTTAAGTTCCCATCAGTGGCAAGTAGAAAAAACTAAAAAAGCTCATTTGGGTTCCAGCTGTCATCTTCCCTCCTTGTGCCATCTTTTCTTGCAATTTCAGGCTTGCTCATGTGCTTACTTAAAAGCTTTTATTTCATCTCTCAGGGCAAAGACTTGAGTATTTAGTAGCTTTCCCACTGTTCCTGTCTAATCTTCCTATTTATCAACCTGGAGATTCCTCAGCTTTACTAATCTTTCC